AAATAGGTCAATCAATCCATGATTTCATAACGAAATAGAAATATTTTTAAAATAAATAAAAGTACAAAAAACGTATACAATTTTTGGTGTGACTCTAATATAATATATCGATTGTAATAAACAAATTAAGCTTATTTTTATTAATTACCAAATTAAAACAGAAAGTGGTTGGTGGGTCACTAAACATATATATTATAAAAATTTAAAAATATATATAATACACAAATTATAAAAATTCACTCATATTATATATTTTTCATAATAATAAAATGTGTGATAAATAATAATAATACAACGTGTGCACGTGGCACTTGCACTTTCACTAGTTAAAAAAAAAAATCCCAAAGCATGTGCATCCTTTTCCTTTTCTTTTCTGGTAATTGGTAAACAGTAAACACAGTGTGGCGCGTGCTCTGCTATCCGCGCGGCGACCATTGGAAGAAAGGATTACAAATTGGAATCCAAAGGGTTGACGTTGACGATTGAAAGTTATGATGAAAGCATGTAAATATGAAGTCTGAAATGGGACCGACGAGAGAAGAGAAAGTACCTAGAAAGTGGACGGATGGACATTCGATGAGCGACGCGTATGCATTATCCGCCACCGTCGGCGACATAAACTTCGCCCCTCCGATTATTATAACAAATTTAATTTTGGGAACTCGAGTCAGCGCCAAACCCTATATGTCAAAAACAATCAATCCCCAATTACGTATACGGTAATCTAGAAACACAAAAATCTAGCTTAATTTGTGGAAAAATAAATCTGGATTAATTGGAGTACCTTTGCCTGCAGACCTGGTAAAGCGGCCGATAGAATCGCTCCCTAAGCATAAATCATTCGAGAAGAACAACAATAACAAATATCACCCAATTGAAATTGGAGTTGAAAAGGAAAATAGAAATATATATATATATATATATATATTTTTTTTTAATTAAAGAAATATGATACCTGGGAAAAACCCAATAGGCCATCGAAGGGTCCATGCTTTATCATGCAATCTTCGATGTAATCAAGGCACTCCTGGAAGTTCCTGTACTCCGTAAATTCCTAAAACACAGCAGAACACGAGATAAATCATAAGAACATGACAGATGGAATGGAATTCTGAATCATTTGGTTAAGATTATGAAACGAAAATAAGCCGGAAAGGAGCCAACCTCGTTGAATTGGAACCATTCGTAATAAGGAGGGTCGAAAATTCCCTTGACGTCAGATATTCCTTGGGCCGGAAAAGGAGCGTCTACAAAGACGAGATCAATATTGCCGAGCACGGATTCAGGCCATTTACCAACCTGTTTCTTGAGGATGTTGGCGCTTGTCCTGAAGCCATGAAGACAGAGAAACCTCGGCCTTTTGCTCTCCTCCGCAATCCCCATCTCACCCCCTTTTCTTTTTTTAGTTTTCTTCGATCTCCGATTAACGTGGGGGGTTTTGCCGCTAAATTTATATAAGAGGGAGTGTGAGGGAGGGAGAAGGAATTATAAATTCAAAGTCAACAGCTACTAGAACTGCACAATTATTTGGTGATATTTATAATATCATATTTCTGACATTTATAACGTCAGCGTCTGCGTAAGGCCAAAGCAAATTAAGAAAAGTAGGGCTAGAGTCAACCGAAGCTTGGCCGGAAGTATCTGTTTTTCTGAATTTAGATTTTTTATAAGAAAAATTGTCTAAAATTCATCACGAGTTTCACCATTGCTTTTAAACTCACCACAACTTTCTAAAATGTCACTATATCAATAAGGTTTTATTTTCTAAAACTCGTGCACCTTTAATACTTCTTAACAGAGGCGTACATGTGAGCATAAATATTTCTTGTATTTTTTATTATTTATTTGAAATTTCTGTGTTTCTCTAAAATTTTTGGTGTTTTTTCTACAATTTTTATTTTTTGATTTTGTTCTTCAATTTCTATAATTTCTATAATTTGAAAACAATTTTTTATTTTATTTTCAATTTCTATAATTTTTTATATTTTTTGTAACTTCAATGTTTTTATGTATTTTATATTTGAAAATATTATTTTTGAACTTTTTCTTTTTGTTCATGTCTAAATATTAAAATGGTAATATATTAACACTCGTTAATTTATTTTGTATATATTTTATATTTTTTATGAAGGTTAAAATGGTAATATATTAACACCCATTAGTCTATTTAACGTCAAGTTAGTGACATGGTGAGTTTAGACATTTTGAAAAGTTGTTGTGAGTTTAAGATAAATGCTGAAAACTCATGTGCAGAAGTATTTGCCTTCCTATTTACAAATAAAAGGAGTAAGGTTTTGAAAACCGATTCGGAAATAGAACACCATTTTCTGGTTCAAAGGTTCAACCCATGATGTCATAAACTAATTAAAAATAAAAAATATTTATAAATAATAAAAATAGTATAAAAATTAAATAAAATATAGAAAAAAAACATCATATGGAAATTAAAACTATCTAAATATAAAAACAATAAAATACAGAAAAAACACAAAAAGATTGCAAAAAATACAGAAAATACAAAAGAAAATAAGGAAAGTAGGATGTATTTTAGTCATATGTGTAGTTATATGTTTGTAGAAAATACCAAAAATGTAGACAAATTCTAAAAAATACAGGAATAAAAAACAGAAATTAGGATATATGTAGTCATACTCATATCTGTACTACTTTAAAAGCACGAATGGCCTTAAGAATATTTCTAGAATTTTCTAAGGACAAAATTTACCCCTCTATATTTAAACTTATTGATAAAAAATGAGGGAAAATAGGGTAATTGGTTCTTGATATTAAATGAGTTGAAAAGAGGTAATCTAAAGATATTCAATTCATTCAATTCTCTCTCATTAAATCCAACGTTTAAGTTATTAACTTGCATTCAATTCATTCAATGCCCATAAGCCATTTTTGTTTCTTCTCATCATTAAGTTCTATTAATTAAATCCATACTTAATAAATTAATAATTCCAATAACATAAAATCTTATACTTTTAAAATCTACCTAGAAAATTATGTTTTCGTCTAGGTGATAAGAAATTAAATCATTTTGGGTCAAATGGGTTAATCCATGTTGCCACGACTAAATATTAAAATTAAAAAAATTGGGAACATTTTTAACATACATATTAAACAATGATAAATAAGAAATGTTTTTATTAATGATGGAAATGGATGTAAAATTTAAAACCAATTGGAAATAAAAATATTTTCCTATTCTCTCTCATTAAATCCTATATTTAAGATATATTTTTCTCATCATTAAATTCTTGTAATTAAATCCATAATATTAATTTTAATAGTATAAAAATAAATATTTTAAAAAGTGATTAGAAAACAAAACCATTTTCTTCCCTCCCAGTGATAGGCAAGCAATTTGACCATTTGGAGTCAAATGGATTAATAAATAATGTCATAATTAAATAATAAAAAATTAAAATAAATAACTATGAAATGTGAGAAGTATTTTTATTAATGATAAAAATGGAATTCCAAATTCAAAATCTATCTAGAAATTAAATGATGTCATAGTAAAATAATAAAAAATTTAATAATAGAAAATACAAAGAATCACAAAACTAAAAAAAAAACGATAGAGAAAATTTTGGGCAGATATCTATTGTTACATATTTATAAAAAAATAAAATATTGGGTACATCTCTAATATTGTGCATTCATTATATTAAACAAAAATAAGTTTTATACATAAGAAATAATTTTATCAATGATGGAAATGTAATACAAAATTTAATGTCAACCTAGAAATCAAACAATTTTTATTTTTAGATGGTGGATTAGTGGTTTAAGTTAAATGATACCATAGACAAACAAAAAATTAAGTGTGAAAAGTAAAAAATATTTTATATAATGTAAATAAATATATAGTTTAAAGGAAAAATTATAGTCAAAGTCGGTTGTACATTTAAAATTAGGTTGCAGGTTGGTCCAGAAACCAACAAAACTCTGACAACCGGCTTTACATTTCAAATTATAAAAACCCTCTCCATTCATCGGAGGCTTATGTGGTTGTTGCCAACATGGGACTTTTAGTCCATGTTGGACACAACAAAAAACCTATATCGAAAATAGGTTTTCAGTTTCTCTCCCACTCCCCTTGTCTCTCAATCTCCCACCCTTCTCTTTCACTCTTACAACCTTCTCTCATTCTCCCGCTCTCTTTGTCTCTCCCACTCTCTCAGATTCGGTTTGTAGCCAAATCAAAACCTCTCTCTCTCCCTCTCTCTCCATTGTTCTCCCTCAATCTTTCACATTCTTCTCCCTCACTCTCCCTCTCGGTCAATATCTCATTCTCTCTCAATCTCTATCATTCTTCAGTTGGTGTAAATTTCATAGCCAAGAGTTTCTTATGAATTTTTATCAAATTGGTGTAAAAATTTGATATAGATAACATAAATACAGAAACCAAAAACCATTTTTATTTATTTTCTAATCACATAGTCGTTGAGCATATAAAGATGACTGTGGGTGAGATGGTGTGAGGGAGAGAGAGAGAGAGAGTAAAAACTTTTTTTTTTCTATTTTCCAATCACCCAACATTAAAGGGCAATTTCAGTATAAGCTTTTTGTTGTGTCCAACATGGATTAAGAGTTTCATATTGGCAATAGCCACATAAGCCTCTGATGACATGGTGAGGGTTTTTATAATTTGAAATGTAGAGCAGGTTGTCAAAGTTATGTTGGTTTATGGACCAACTTGTAGCCTAATTTTAAATCTACAACGGCTTTGACTATAATTTTCCCTGATTTAAAACTAATCCAAAAGCAATGCTATTTTCTTATCTAGATGGTGGGTCAATGATCCAACTTTTCCAAGAAACCCATGGTGTCATAATTGAATAACAAATATTTAAGTTTATTTTTAATCATATTGTTACTTTTGTTAATTTCCAACTTTTATCTTAACTATGATATATCTAAAATTCATGTAATTAACATGAAGAAAATTTTCTCACGTGCAATGCATGTGCTTAATTAGTAGTATGTATAAAAAGATACAAAACAATCCAAAAAATACAGGAAAAGCACATAAAATTGCAAAAAATAGAAAAAAAACATAGAAAATTGAAAACAAATACATAAAAAATAGTGAGTAGGATTCTTTAGTCATATGTTTGCAAAAAATACAAGAAAAAATCCAAAGAAATACAAAAAATTGAAAAAAAAAGAAAAATACATAAAAAACATAAGAAAATGAGTTCATATAAACATAGAGTTCACTAAACTTACAATGTTTTCCTAAACTTCAAACAATCTGTTTATCTAGTTCATATAAACATAGAGTTCACTAAACTTCAAACAATGTTTTCCTAAACATTAATGCCATTATAATCTATCATACTGAAGAAAATGTGGGGAAAACTCAAGTACCTTTGAGCCTCTTGAAGATCAAATTTTTCTGCTCTAACCAAGTTGCTTTTTATTCATAGCAATTGCAATCAGTGTTGTACATTAGAAATTGCAACTCAATGAACCTATACATAACAACAAGTAAAATTAAATAAAAACAAAACTTTCTTTAGAAATGCCCTTGCCTTTACAAATGGAAAGGAACCCTTTTAGATGGTTAAGTCTCTCAGAGTTTCCTCTTTGGACTTCTTGTTCAAAAACACAAAGACAAGAGAAGAAAATTTGCAAGAGATTTCATAGATATTGCCATAAACTATGCATTCCTAATCACAATACTTAGTGTGAGCGTTGGGAAAACGGCTCACTTGCCACTTGGGTTGGAAATGGAGTCGCCACCCATTAGTTTAGGAAATGGAGGTGATGGGACCCCCAAAAATGATTTTCAAAAACATTTTGCTTTAATAATGATTCTAACAACTCGAGGTACCAGCTAACCAGTCCATGTAAGACTCGGATGGGAATGGGAAAGGGAAGGGATTAAGCACCCCTCTCCTGGGTCCAATAGGTGGGGCCTACATGGGAACTCAGGTGAGTGTAAACGCAAAAAGCAAATAAAGGCAAATCACAAGAACAAACTAAGAAAATTCCTTCCTGTTTTTTTTATATTTTCATTTTTATTATTATTCTAATGAAAGGATTAGTTTCAATAACTAGGACTGTACTACATCCCACCATTACCCAAGTAGGAAAAAACTTACATTCAGCCTTCACATTTATAACAAGCCAAATCTTAATGACAGGACAAACAAGATAAATCTAGTTAATGAAAGGAATGCGGATTGATATACGATGACTCATAATATTTAACATCTTATTCAAGTGAAACTTAAATCTCTATGATAACAACTAATTAACATCAAGGTCATGACAGATTAACATCAGGAATATTGATAGGAAGAAAAAGAATCAATAAAACTAGAAGTAAACTTCTAAATAATTGATAGATTCAACTAAAACAAAGCTATTTAAATCCTAAAGAAAAATGACGGTGAAACTAGGTTGGTACTGAGAGCTATAGGAGCTGAATCAGCCTAGTCTCTCTCCTCCCAC